TATATATATATATATATATATATATATATATATATATATAAAATCTGATATTAGAAGACAGGGCGTGCTTGTTAATTACACATTCTTTCTGTCCAGTCAAAGCTAGATCCAGGCCTGAGCTTTCCCGATGCATCGCTCAACCTGGCGCCCATATAGTCCCCATAAATTTAGAGAATATGCACAAAAGCAACATTTAGGGCATTCTTGTTGACTGCTTGCTTGATTTGCCCAGTCTAGGCTGTTTCCACCCTATTAGACATGCAGAGAGATCCTGGGTTTCCTTACCCTAACCTAACCCAAAAGTGAATCCTAATTGTAACCCCCAGCCATCATCAGTATACAAAGACAACACTTACAGTGCTCTTGCTGACTGCTCACTCTTTGCCCAATGCAAGCTTGTTCCAAGGCCATGAATATGCACAGGGCCTGAGGTGTTCTTCACGCGTAACCCTAACCTGAACCTTAACCTGACCCATAACTCAGTACACTAGGACAGCATGAAAAAGTCAGCACTGAGAAAGTTTTTGTTGATGGCTGCCTTTCTTTGCCCAATCTAGCCTTTTTTTAAAGCCCTGGAAATGCATAAGGACCCAGGTTTTCTTATTCCTGGCCCTAACTTGATATCAGCCCCGGCCCAAACATGCAGGCATAAGGTTTAGATAATATGCACAAAGGCAACTGTGAGGGTGTTTTTGTTGACTGCCCTCTGTGTGTCTCTATCCTGGATCCTGAACGTGCACTGGGAACCATTTTTCCTGAATCCTACTCCTAACCTGAGTTTAACCCCAGTGCAATCCCTATGCATTCAGAAAATGCATCTTCAGATCAGAAGATGAAAGAAAATCTGTTGATCTCAAACCAGCTGGATTTCTGGTATCTGTTGAGCTCAAACCAGCTGGTATATCCCTATGTGGCCCCATCTCTCTGAAAGCAGGGAAAGAGAAAGGTTAACACTCAGAGAAGGAGATCTGAGCTTTCATCTCTGTGGAAGCACAGGCACTCTTTGCCTCTCTAATGTTGGAGCCCTGATGTGAGAGGGCGGAAGAGGAGGCCCTAGAAAGAATCTGGAACTGAATGACGTCATGTCCTTCTAATTTCTGCTAATGTACAGCAACCCTGGAGCTAGCAGAAGTTCATTGGTTTCAATGGGAAGGAATTAGTGAAACAACAGAAAAATTCTGGGGAGCCTTGACAGGAGAAAAGGAAATGCTGCTCTCCTCCCGATGAGCCCATCAATGCTTTTTGTGTCTCATTGCTTCCAAAGCTGGAGCTCTCCAAGAGCGTTAGAATTGGTCCGTTCTTCTCCTTTTGAGAAACAAAGAGCTGTCTGCTTCTATGTGTTGTGTGCAGTAGTTGCTAATAAAAATGAATGGCTTTCATGGGCAAGCCCCACGTGAGATATCCCACTCACGTCATGCAGTTCTTCCCTGTGCTCAGTGCAGGCTCCAGCTCTTGAAGGACCCTTGAGCGAGACATGCACAATGATCTTTCCTTCCATGGGTCTGCCTTCTCATGGCCACTGTTTCCGGCTGCTTTTCCTGCCATTGTCCCAGAGGCCACTTACTGGCTTGACAAGCCATGAGCCAATGCTAAGCAGGCAGAGGCATCTACTGCTCCTCCTCTTCCCCACCACCATTCCCTGGTTCACCACGAAGAGCAAACAAGCATATTGCAATGGTGACAAGGAAGAGCAAGTCCAGGGGCCTCCTCTCATAGGCCTCTGCTGATGTGCACTCCCTCAGCAAGTGCCTGGCCTTTTCCACTTTTGTCACCAGTCGTACCTGTGCCATACATGGATCTGCTGAAGTCAATTTCCTACTAGATGCATGTGCGGTATCACTCTGACTGATGGGTAAGATTATTCAGGCCCAAATCAGACCTTTGTATGGATTTCCACAGAAGGGCTTATTTTAGCAGTTGGGCACATTATTCAACACAGGGAACACAGGCAGAAATATTTACCTTTGGGTGGAGGTTTCTTTTCGATTTTCTGCTGTTCATCAGCCTTGTCTATTTGGATCTCTGAAAGCATAAGAACCAGGTAGTTATTGGAAGAGAACTTGTTGTTGTAGGAGAACAGTGCATAAAGTACAACAGAAACACATCACTGTTGACTAGCTTGCTTATACTGGGTTAGCCAAGGTGGTACCTGTTGGACTGCCATAAGTCCCAGCCAGCATGACTGATGGTCAGGAATTTTAAGAATTGTATCCAGAACGGTCAGGGATGGATTACAGAATATCGCAAGAATACCAGGTTGCTTCACTTTGGTTCATACATATGGCACTGTTCTGGACAGTGTTTCTGTTTTCAAAACTTAGAACACACTCTATTAAAAGCAACAACAACAAGAACAATTCTTCATTAGGAAATGAGAATTCTCCATATTTGCTTAAGATTTTGCTTCTTGAGGACGTTTGCGCAACACTTGCAGCAGTCTTCCTAACATCTATTGACCACTCTCAAATATTTTCATGTCTTGCTTTGAAAAGTATCTCAAATTTGCTCAGAATTTAGCTTAAGGTATAATTTACCTTAAGTCCTAATTTCAGTGGCAACACTATTCAACATCGTACATGCAGTTCATTTAATAAAAGACTTTACAATCAATATGCATAAAACAAAGGAAGTTATGCTGGTCCATCAGAAAAAAACCCACTAACATCTTCAGCCAGTGATTGTTTAAATTAGGTACAATCAAAGATGCTCACAATTTCAGATCTTTAGAATCCTTCATCAAGCAGATGCAACAAACAGAAAGTGAGACAGAGAGGAAACAAAATGCTGAGAATATTGAAGGCATGAAGCCTGCATAGTGAGAATCTTAAGGTAGAATTGAAGGAAAGTTGCAAATTTATATGGATTAGGTTCCATTAGGCATCATCATGCAGTTTTCAGGTTACAAGTGTGTTTATTGAGAAAAACACACACTTGATAAGTAATTTCACCTGACTTGAAAATATAAAATCCAGAAATTACTGCAACTCATTCTGATACAGTCATTTTATGACTATAGCCCAAATCAGCCTTTTTTTTTTTTTTTTCTTCTCCCATAGCCTTCCTTCACTTTTTGCCTGGTTAGGAAATCTTAAGATCTTGAAAGCCTACCCATAATTTTGTGCATACCTGGCTTGACCTAGTATGTAGGACCAAATGGTCCTGCATAAAATATGGACCAACTATGGACCAACTATGATCCATTGTTATGGACCAACTATGGGTTTGCAAGGAATATGTAGGCATAGTTTTGATAATGTGTTGTATAATACAATGGTTCCAGCTTATTTTCACCATCTTCCTCCTCATTGGACACTTTTGCATTTTTTTCCAACACTGCTCAAAGTATCATATTTGGACTGTACAGTTCATGGACTACCTTTGTTACAGAATAAATCCTATCTTGAACAGTTTCTAACTTCTCATTGTCTATCTTGCAGTGCAACTCAACAGATTCCTATAAATCAAGGAGGTATGATTTGATTTCTTCTACAAAATCAGCTACATCTTTATTAGTTGCCAGTGTAAAGCTACCATTGTAATTAGTTCCTATAGACTGTTTTTCTTACCAAGAAAAGGCATCATAAAGAAGAGAGAGGCTTTGTTATGATAACATTTTATCTTAGATAACAAATCTATGATAATGATCTCACAAGCAAGGGCAAAATTAAGGAATCTATGGTCAAGTAGCAAAAGTGGTGGCACATCTAGAAAATGCCCAAGATACAATTATTTTATTGTTTAAAACTGAACTGAGATAGAACAATATCTTGCAAGTGCTGATGAAAGCTGACATATCTTATCACAGTGCCTGTTTCATAAACCTATTCTACTTCCTAAATAGCTGAAAATGATCATATGACCTAATGAAGGATACCCATCTTTAATGTTGTCATGATCGTCAACCATTCAGCCGTGTCTGACCATTAGCCGCTCTATGGAACATTGCTCTCCATGCCTCTCTGTGTCGCACTGCTTCCTTCATGACCACTATGTCCATGCCAGTGTCTTCCTTTATGGTGTCCAGCCAATGGTGCTGCGGTGGCCCCTTCGTCTTTTTCCGCTGATCACTCCCAGCATTATTGACTTTTCGAGTGAGTCAGCTGCCTTGACATGGCCAAAGTATGGCAGGTTTTGTTTGATGATATTGAGTTCAAGTGATATTTTTGGTGAGGCTTGGTGATTTTTGCAGACCGTGGAATGTGCAACAGTCATCTCCAGCACCACAATTTGAAAGCACCCTTCTTCTATCTGCCTTTTTCAGAGTCCAAATTTCACAGCCACACATTCACAGCAATTGGAAAAATTATTGCATTGACTAATCTGCAATTGGTAGAGATGCCGATATTTTTACTCTTCCAGATGTTATTAATGCAGGACATTGCATTTCTTCCAAGTGCTATGAGCCTTCTGATCTCAGGACTGTGGTTACCATGTTGGTCAATTTTAGATCCCAGAAAGCTGAATTTCTTTACTGTATCTATGGTCTCATTGCCAATTTGCACTCTGACCTGTGTGTTCTCTGCAGTTGTCAAGATTTTTGTTTTCTTGATGTTAAGGTACAATCCAGATTTTTCACTTTCATCTTTGACTCTAGGGATTAGCCACTCCAGCTCTTCTTTGCTTTCTGCAAGAAAAATGTATCATCTGCATATTGAAGGTTGTTGTTTCTGATCAGAGTACAGTGACTGAATGAGCTGGATGTGGTGTGTTGATGTTCCCAGTTATTTGCGGCAGTCCAGAGTATGTCATGGTCAACACAGTCAAAGGCTTTTGTGTAGTCAATGAAACACATGTAGAAATCTTTTTGGTATTCCTTTTTCCATCATCCAACAAGGATTGGCAATGTGATCCTGCATTCCTCTCCCTTTATGAAATCCTGCTTGTACATCAGGCAGTTCTCTTTGGCAGTCATGTTCAAACGTTGTTGGATTATCTTCAAGAAGATTTTATTCACGTGTGGTATCAAGGCTAAGCTTCAGTGGTTAGAGCAGTCTTCTTATCGGCCTTCTTTGGTATTGGGATGAATACTGACCGTTCCCATTCTTTTGGCCACTGACCATATTTCCATACACTTTGGCAAAGCGCTATCAGTGCTTTTGTCGGCATGGTCTCAGCAACTCTGCTGGGGTGCCATCAACTCCAGGGGCTTTGTTGTTAGGCAAATGGTTGAGTGCCCCCACTGCTTCCTCCTCCAGGATATCTGGTTCCAGTTCAATTAGGACAGCTTGGCCTTGATTCTCATTTGTATAAAGTTGTTCTACATATTTTTGCCATCTTTCTCTTACTGCTTGTTGGTCATGCAATCCATGTCCATCGTGCCCTGTCCATAGCCTTTCTTGACATAAAGGGTTTGTTTGCCTTCTTCACATACACTTCTTGTATGGCCTCTCTTGGCTGCTTCTAATTTCTTGCATTGTTCACCCCAGTACTTTTCTTCATCTTTTCTTGCCTGTCTCTGGAACTTTGCGTTTAGTCTTCACACTCCTTACTGTTACCAAAGTCTTTTGCTTTCCTTCTCTCTTCTGCAGTCTTTAATGTGGCTTCTGATAATCACCTTGGCAATTTTGTTGGCTTCTTGTGTTCAATATGTTTTTGGGCTGCTTCATTGACGGTTGTTGTTCTTTCCTCCCATCTTCAGCAATATTGACAAAATAATCAGTTCCAACACTACTAAATGCCATGAACTTTTTAGAATCTGACTTCAATTTGCATTAGTTTCTAATTAATCCGACAGAATCCTATTAATACTGTGTAAATGAAAGTGAAAGTGCACCACTAAACAGAACACTCTGCCCAAAAAATAGCAAGATCTCAGTGTCACAATTCTTTGTCAGATGAGCAACAGGATGGTTATGAGATCCATCTCATTCCGATCTGGATGTGGTAGTGAGTTGCTTTTGGCAGTCTACCAGCTATTTTCAGGCTGCAGTCTCCTTTGTTCTCTTTTAATACCATAACTGTGGTTGGGTAGCAGTTACTTGACTGTAAATTACTCCTATTGCGTTATAGGAATGAACTGAGTTGCAGTAGCCATTAGCAATGCTACTGGGGAGGGACAGTTGTTTACATTACCAAATCTTCACCAGAGAAAGGCATAGGTTTAAACCATACCAGTATCCCTAAGTACACAATAGTTTCTTCTAGGTGTATTTGGTTTTATGGCTTGAATAAACATCCCAAAGAACTTGCTGTGTCTTTGAGAGAGGGAAAAATTGTGTTCGTTCTTCATTCAGTTTTTTTTATAGTATCTGCCTTATTCTCTGTGACAAATAGCTTTAATTTTCTGCTAATCATATCATATCTTTTTGCTGAGTTGCCAGAGCAGTTGTATTTTCATAGAAGACTTACATGGCCAGTTGAAAGGATGCAATTTATCTCCATCAGAGAGGCATATTGTTAATAAATCCAAAATATTATGAATTCATGTTTAGAAAACTGACAGAATCCTACAGTAGCAATGATAATCTCTGTCACCAAGGCAACCATGCTGATTCTTCATGAGATGACAGCACAGTTTATTAAATTATTGCAATAGAGAATGTATTTTTTAAAATGTAATTCATTAGCTACCAAGGAAATAGGGCAAATGCAAAAAAGCAAAACAGAACAAAAAAAAAAAAAAAACCCAGCTTTCTAAGATTGCTGTTTTTTCAACAATTTAGGATTTTATTTTTTTGGTTGTTATATAACTTTTTCTTGATAATATGAAGATGCACATTACTTTTAGTAAAATATTTATTTTATATCCACAGTGATGCAAAAGCCCATGACATGTTCAAAAGCCATTTAAAAATATTGACAAGATAAATTTCCCTCTAGCTTAGGCCATCAGTACAGCCGTGGGCTGCCAGTATTCAAAAAGCTCCAACTAAACTCCAACTAAAAAGCACTGAATTTTGTCAGTGTTGTTCAACCATACAAGGGGCTTATCTGTTCAGGTTGAACCCTTTGGAATTATTTCTTGTATTGAAAACACAATGAGTTCATACAACATGATAAAGCACACAACAATTCCCATTGGA